GATCTCGCGTCATTGGATGTGGTGACTCGGTGTGGGGTGTAAGAAGCCCGGTTGAGGTAATCTTCGGCATCTTTATCTTATACTTACATGTTCTTTATTTCATATTCTCAAGCATAGTATTAGGTTGTATCAATGGCATCAAGTAGTTGAAATTTATTTTATTGATGTGTGATTTATTTTGGAGTTTCTATTGTTTGTAATAAGACTATATGTGAGTGTTCTTGTTGCCAAAAATATAGGGGATTATTATTATTATTAAAAAAAAAATTATATTTCTTTGACAAAAGATCACATAGGTCTTTCTTTCACCACCTCTCTATTATTCTCTCTCCTACATATGCTTTATATCTTTCTAAGAGATAGGGCTTCCGATAACAGATAGACAAAGGGGTTATCCTTTTAAAGAGGCGGCTTTCTTGAGAGAGAGAGAGAGAGAGAGAGGGTTGGAGTTTCAGTTGGTAGTGAGGGGCCTTTGCCAAAATGAAAGAGGGAGATGAGTGGAGAGAGACGCAAGGTATTGCAGGGATGAGAGAGAAAATATTTTTTTAATGAAAGAAAAAGAGGGATTCAAATTTTACCTTGACATCTGAATCCAAATCCCAAAGTGATCGACAAGGGGGTGCCATATTTGGGAGAGTCCTATAAGATCATTACTCCCCTAACATAAATATTGTACCCATGTTCAACTATTGGACCTCATGTTTACGTATTTGATAGTTATTTTGAAATTGGAGCAATAGATAGTCGTAAAATTATTAAATTGTGAATCTACCATGTGCAACTTCTAATAAATTTCCCTAAAAAAATCATCCTAGGCAGCACTTATACCCCAAGGGAGTAAGTATATGGTATCAGAAAAATTAAAAGGGAACTATAAATGAGGTTGGCACCAACCAGAGCCTTCACATTGTCATGGCTGAGAAGGAAATCAAGGCCGCCCCTTTCTTGGCTTTCAAGAAGATAGTTCACAAAGTCCTTTCTCTTCTCACCATCTTTGTGTTGTTTCAAGTGCTCCTGCACAATCCTGTCAAGGAATGCCTCCATCCACCGAAACAAATACCTTAGCGCGAGTGCGTCGCGGTGAAGAAGATGATCCATTCCCATCGACAGGAACAAGTCCCCTACAGTGTATCCTCCGAGCATGTTCGACACCTCATACACCATCTCTGCATACTAACCCACACCTTTCTCTAACTGTGCAGGATATTTTTGACGAGGGCAACCGTGGAAACCACATTATTTGTGAGGGAGAACATGAGACCGCAGATGCTCATCGTACCAGTACCAGTGGCGGTTGCAACTCAATTACACACATCTTCCTTAGGTTCCTCCAGAACACACCGTAAGGCGACAGACTGAGGTCGCCGCCGTATAAGAGGTATTTGTCATTACAGATAAGTAGTGCAACAACATGTTAGCTAGCAAGTAGAGGTTTCCATTCTTTGGGAGCCTCCAAGGACCAGGTGGTAGCTTGACGTGATGACCTCTCCTACTTTGATTCACAAATAGTTAGAGTTACTAGAAGTGCGGCGGATTCGTGCCACCAGCAGTAGGGCTGAGTCTAGTTAGAGTTACTAGAATTGTAGCGGATTCTTGCCGCCATCGGCAGGGTTGAGCAATGACAATGCACAATTTAAGAGCCAACAGAGTAGGGCATTGCACTTTGCATGGAGTTGTGCCTCATAAATTTGCTCAGCACTTTCTAATTACTCGGAAAAATCATCTTAAGAAGATGTCCATGTTCAAGTTAGTGCTCTTATCAGATTTCATTTAAAAAGATTATCACTAAAAAAAGGGCAAGAATCATCACTATTATTTTTTTCCTTATTTTTTTTTCAATCCTTTGAACCTTAATTACAAGAGTCATCACTGTTAGAGAATTTTGCGAAACATAGAAAGATTCACACAGTTGAAAATGTTTCATGTACTTAATATGATCTCACCCTCTTCTTCAATCTCCCGGTGAATAAAATTGTACCTTTGGAACTACCGAGGGCGTTCAATTATTGGGAACTTTACAAATGAAAAAAAAGAAACGGACGCCCATGTTGCAATCTTTATGTTGCTTATAGAGTTATCTGTAGAAAACAATCCACAAAAACAAGAAAGAAGAAACAAACAACACAACGCAAACATATACGTGGTTCGACAACGTGCCTACGTCCACGTGAGATGAGAACTTCTTAACTGACAATGGAGAATAGGGTTACAATAGCTTGCTTCTTCACGTATCTCTGTTCTCTCTTATTACAAAGAGATACGCGTTTTTCCCTTGACGCTAAAAAACCTCATCGCAACAATATATATCGAGTCCCAGATAGATGGTATAAATTACCAAACTACCCTATGTACAAAGATATATATCGAATCCCATGTACAGATATCCAAAATTTTTCTCGACTCCTGCAGGGACCGAGTCAACCAAGTCTGCCTACCCGAACACTCCTCCGAGCTTTTAACGGCCCTACGGAGTCGTCCTTTTGACTCAACCAAGTCTACCTGCCCGAACACTCCTTTGAACTTTTAACGGCCCTCCGGAGTCATTTTTTTTACTCCACCTTGGCAGATCTATTTCCTCATAATACAAGACATCAATCCTCAACACTGCCAATGGTGCGAGCGAAGCCTTGGTTTCTAATACTCATTTCGAGCCAATTACGGGTTTTAGGCCGGGCAAAGAAGATAACAATGAAGCTGAAAATTTATCTGCGTCCAATAACCGACAAATACAACTATGTTTAGAGAGACAAAAAATAAAAAGAAAATAAATTTACCGACAGCTAACAACCAAGAAATACAACTACGTTTTAGAGAGACAAAAAATAAAAAAAAAATTACAAAAAAAGAGTATAAATGTGGGGATCCAAGACTGCCACGCATAACAAGCACAAGAGCAAGAAAAAAAAAAAATTTCCAAAAAGCTCTCTCGCTCTCTCTAGCACGTTAACTGTTTTTTTTTTTTCCATTCACCAAAAACTAACCATTACATTGCACGGTTTTTGTTGTTTATATCACAACTATCTCCAAAAGATATTCCCAATCAAAAATACACTAGGAAAAGATATGATACTTCCTAAACCAACACCCCACAAAAACGTGCTGAACTTCTAAGGGTCAACTACTCAACATTGAAATGTCGTCCAAATGTATGATTTTTTCATTCAACATCCTCGATTCATCAAGGTATAACTCCCCTAAAAATATCACCCATCTTTGATCACAAATGGCCCAAGTTTAAGTTCACCATGAACAACAATTTATCCCTATATAGCAGGCTCACAGTGAACTTGACATCACCGCTTAAGACATCCAAACTCCATGAATTTCAGGAAATGGCTTCAAAATATTATTTCAGGTCTTTCCACAAAAATCTACACCATTCAAGCACTCTTAAGTCGAAATTGTTGAGTTGACTGCGTGAGCCTATGTATATAGCTTCATAGTCCTTGAAGTGAACTTGACTTACCCTCATAGATGCATACAAACCTCCTAGAATTTGGGATACATCATAAAATGGTATTACAGGCATTTCCACAAATTTTTAGACCATTTGGTCACCGTTTATTTTAGAATGTCAAGATCGGCACAAGGCATTATCCATGGCACAGTGAACCTAAAAAAGCCCAAGTTTCCACACACCGAACTTTCTGCCTTTTTAACACATTATCATATTTGATCTTTTCATTAGCATTACCATGGTTCTGAGTTGTTTGGAGATCCCTATCATAGTTTTCTGACTTCAAGACCATGGTCATTTCAATATTTATTGTCATCCCAAATGCAAGTGGCAGACCTCAAGCACAACCTACTCATCAGCAGAAGGTGAAAATTCATGTTATTGCCACTGATTACTCCCATAAATCCTCCAAAGTATAAATGCTTGCAGTAAACGCTTGATGACACTTAAGTTGACCAACATGATAATTTGCTCTAAAGCTCAAGGTTTACAGATAGAAAACTCCCAACCTATGCGCAAGACATCAAACCATTTACTTTTGATACAAGGCTACAATCATCAGAGTATTGTTTTTTAAAATAAAGTCAACTAAATTTCCCAAATGGTGTGATATACTTTCATTTCTTAGATTTTTCAAATTCAATGATTTGAGTAACTGTAATCTCTTTGTACCAAAAATAAACGGTCTCATAATATACAATCCCATAATAATAATCAAAACCCGCTTCGAATTTAAATGCCTCTCACCTCTTCTCTCTCTGGAAAGAACAATCTAACATCCCGTGAGGTTGTACTTTTTCTTCACAAGGACAAAAATGAAATAGGAAATTGAAGACAAGAAAAAAAATAGAAAATTTCAAATAAATAAAAAATGACAAGAAAATTTATTTAAAATAAAAGAAAGATTATCTCTTCAAATACAAGAAAGATCTCTCTCACTCTCCCTCACACACAATCACAATCTACAATTTCATAAGGTTGTATACTTATTTGGGGAGTGAGGTCCCTTTCACAAGGTTGTCTAAATTGATGCAACATATGAGGCATAGCCAAGTGTATCTAACCTCTATAAGAGAACAAAGAAAAAGCATCACAATGAAACCACTTGGACATCTGCGTTATTCATAAGACATGATAACGCTGGCCTATCCCGATCTGACTAAACAGAGTCTCTCTCTCTCACACACACATACAGTGGCATATCCTGCTCTGACTTTAACAGAATCTCCCTCTCTCTCTCTCTCTCTCTCTCTCTCTCTCTCTCTC